GGAATCCCTTCGCAGTCAACCCAAGGCAGAAGATGATGAGCGAACTGGGGATGAACGACCAGCACGGTTGTTGGAAGCCATCAGTGACTCGGACTGGGCATCTAGTGCAGACAGGAAGTCAATAAGCTGTGGTCACCTATATTTGGATGGAAACTTGATGTTTTCATACTCAAGACGACAGTGCTCAATCAGTCTCAGCTCATGCGAAGCCGAACTCATATCAGCCACCTCAGCCATTGCCGAAGCCCTCTTCTTGAAGAACAGTCTCGAAAGCTTGTCAGATCTCCCGGTTGATGTGGTTGTGCGGTTAGACAACTCAGCGGCTCGTAGCTTGCTGGTGAAATGCGGAGTGTCTAGGATCAGACACTTGGATTGTAGACTGCTTTGGTGCCAGGGTTTAGTGAAGTCAGGGCACCTTTCCGTGAAACCCATAGCGGGCTTGCAGAATCCATCAGACATAGCCACCAAAGTGCTTTCCTCAGAGAGAATCAAGTATTTGTTGGGTTTGGCTGGTATGTACAACAACGATGGCCTGATCAAATCTACCAAACCTCCTCAGACTGCAAAAGTGCAAAGAATTGCCTCAAGAATGGACATCGAGAACTTGGTGCGTACCGTGGTATATGCAGCCATAGCCTTGAGCCAGCAGCATCATGTGGGTGCTGCCGTGATGACTGCGGGAAGCGCTGCTGAGACAATCTCCGAAGGCGCTGCTGGTGCATTGAACTCCGAGAACCTGGAAGTCACGTGGTATGACCTGGTGGCGACCATCTGGAACCTCATGCTGTACCGAGGCATGAGCGGCTTAATGGCGACGAACCTCATGCTGTACCGCATCATGGATGGCTTGTTGGTAACGAGTGTAACAAATGAGGGCAACCAGGGGTGTTCCATGGGCAGTATGACATGCCTTCTTCTCTTCTTGCTCCTCTTTGCCTTCGCCAGTTTCTCCATGTACTGGACCTGGGGAAGGTACCAGATCTTAAGATCCCCACAGACGACGACACGATCTCCACAGACGACTACACGATCTCCGCAGACGACGACACGATCTCCACAGACGACTACACGATCTCCGCAGACGACTACACGATCCGCCCAGTCGACAGCTACAGGATCTGAAGCTCCAATGTCAGTGACTCCTCCTTTCCAGAATCGGGCAGAACGCGACGCTGCTCTCCGTGAAGAAAAGGCTCGTTTTGTTCAGACAATCAACCAGCATCCCGAGATCTTCAGTGCCCAGATGCACGAGCCCGTGGTGTATACACGATGCGGTGAATACTACCATGGGGGACCAATGTGCCATGGCTTGAGAAACCACACAGGCCAGCTGACCGCAGGTACCGTCCGAGAAGCCCTTATCCGACGTATGACTCCGTGTAAGCTGTGCTGCAATGACCACTGGATGATCTATGGAGAGTGGTTGGTGCAGCCAATGCCTGGCGAAACCTGAGATGAGCGACCTCAAGTGAAACGTGCGAACACTTCTTCATTTCTCCGTAACAAGACGCTTTTGTGTTGCATAGTGCAACAGCGCATTTTAAGATGGTGTGTGTACATAGCCTTTTGCGTGACGGTAAGGGTAGGCCAGCTGGTAGGACAAGAAAGGCACCCGAAGATGTGCAAGTTGGCCTCTTTGTTTGTGTGAGTAAGGATGCACTGGGACTAGAACAAGATCAGGTGCCCCGCAAGAAGGGCCCCAGTGCAGTTGCAATGTACAGTGTGCCATAGCAACATGTATTGTGTTTGAACAGTGTTTGAAGATGTGATGAACTCACAAGGTTGCAATCGTTGCGACGGTGAATCAAAGATTCACAGTGGGCATCAGCAGTGTGTAGGGTAGCGATACTGCATGAAAGAAAAATTCAAGCAGTCTCGAGGAGGGGTGCAAAGGGGAAACCTACGCATGTACCTTGTTTTCCACGGTATTTTCCATGCACATGTTGCAGTGGCGAATCTCAAGACCGGATAGGCTTTTGGCTCTTGTGAGAAAAGTCCGTGTGTTTTACACTTTTGCAGCTTCGTCAATCCTTTTTGCAAAGTAATTTCTCGACGATGCTTCCGCCGGTCGGTCCATCTCCGACACCTTGGGCATGTTTGCTCTCACAAAATCCTTCGTTTGCGCAGCTTTGCAGTGCGAAAAGGCCGACAGGAGGTTTTGGAAAAGCGTCTCTAAGCTTCGCATCCAAGGTTGGGCTTTGGACGATTGCATTCATAAATGTTCCACTGTGCGTTCAGAGCTCCTGGCTTTGCTCTTTTTGAGCAGCTTTTGCGTGCTGTAGCAGCAGATCTGTGTTCCTTGCACACAGCTCCTCCGCCCTGGAGGGTTTCGAGAACTTGAGGTTTTGGACAGATCCTCCCTCAGTGTCTTTGCCCTCAAGTTTGATTTGGCCAACCGAGTGGATTGCAGCCTGGAACGTCTTTGGCATTTTTGCACAGACATTCGTCTGTGGCCTCCGTGTGCTTCTTTGAAGTGGCAGCACCCATGACACAATGGGTTCATACTGGCACGTCTTCGCTCACCTTTGAAATTGGGCTGATAGGAAGCGAGCTTTGACTTTGCTAGTGATAGAGTTGGTGGTATCGAGAGTTCTCAGCTTTGGCATCTTTTGCTCAGATTTGCTTGGAGCTTCAAACTCAGAGCTGCAAAGTCAAAAGAGAGTCTGTCCTCGCTGTGCATTAGCTTTGGCTTTAGCATAGGCTTGCTTTAGCGTAGGCTTCACCTTAGTACAAGGGCTATGGCAGTGTGGCTTGAACTAAACTGTGAACGGGTTATGTGTTTACTCATGGTTGTTTACTGTTTTGAGAAAGTCATCATGCTTTGATGCTTATGGTTCAAGCCACACACCATACAAGAGCAGCATCAGTGCAGTGCTTTGCTAGCTTTCATTTTTTCCCACCCACCACTCCCTGTCTCGGAGGCAGAGTCCTTTGATTTCAGGGATAGAGCTTCTTTGGCCACTTGGACAGTGCAGGTGTGCCTTGTTTCACCGGATGCCATCATATACCAGACCAGCATTTGTTCGCTTTGTTATCTCACTGGGCCGTGTACATTTGGGCTGGCTTTGTGCTTGGTGGTATCGAGAGTTCTCAGCTTTGGCATCTTTTGCTCAGATTTGCTTGGAGCTTCAAACTCAGAGCTGCATTTCCGGCAAAGTGAAAAGAGAGTCTGTCCTCGCTGTGCATTAGCTTTGGCTTTAGCATAGGTTGTACACCTTAGTACAAGGGCTATGGTAGTGTGGCTTGAACTAAACTGTGAACACCAGTTACTTCGCCTGTGATTGATGCTGAGATGATTGCCCAGATCGCTGAGAAGGTGAAAGCGAGTCTGAGTGTGGGAGATTTGGAGAAGTTGCTGCTGGATGAGAAGAAGAAAGCTGCTGAGCCGAGCGAATCTTCGCAAGATCGCAAAAAGGGTGAAGATCTGGATTGATTGAGGTGCTTGAAGACCTCGTAGGGTTGTGAGAAGCCCTGCAGCCATTTTAGGGTCGCCATGGCTTCCTGCACCGCCGTGGCCCGCCCGCGTTTTTCCTGATTTTGAGTCAGCGCATGAGAGTTTTCTTTCGCTGTGTGTGGGAACACGCGCTACGCTTTACACTTTGCAAGCGAGTTTTTGTCTGGTGGCAGCCGTTTTTTCGTTGGAGCTCTGCCAGCAGTTGCTCGCTGGTGAGCTTAGTTTCCGGGAAGCGAGGTTAAGGAGTATGACCACGTCAAGGTTGAGTGCTGAGTGTGGCCTGATGCTTTGGAGCCTTGCATTAATTCGTTTGTCACGAGTTTTTCACCACGAACTTTTGGGGACCAAGACAATACCGGACCCAGGACAACTTGTCTTATGATAGGATTTGGCATGAGTTGAAGTTTGATGTCAGGGAGCTGACTTTGCGTTTGTGTTTCGTTTTGGTGGAGAGTACGCACCAAGGGAATGTGGCCAGGGCATCCCCTTACTGTTGGTTGAAGTGCCAAGCTGTGCTTGGACTTCGGATCTTTGGCATGAGCCCTCAGCAGAATGCGGGGGCTGGAAGATCGTAGCTGATACATGAGTGTTTATCATGTTTTAGATCAGCTTGTATAGTTGTTTTGCTTCGGAGTGACTGGGAATAGAAATACTTTCATGCTCTGTGGTTGTGGATGTTTGTGGAACTCCCGTGAAGGGATTCCATCTGGATATCGTCTAGATGATTTCCATAGGAAATCATGCTATGACGTTTTTGCCCAATACGTTACGTTGAGTGAGTGTGCACTGAGTAGGAACTTTGTTCTGAAGCACTTTTAAAACGTTTGTAGTTTTGCGCACTTCCCAGAGACTCCAAAAGTCTTTAAATCATGGTTAAGGGATTATGCGTTAATTTAATTTAAGCGCTATTTGCTTAATTAAAGGGTTTTATCACACCTGTTAATTAAGGGCTTTTCTTTCCCAACATGTTTCATAAAGACACTGTCTGGCATGCAAGTGAATGATCGAGATCGATGGAGCAGATCCGAGGAGATGTGTGTGTGTGTACATATCTCTCGAAAAGAACAATTGGTCTACATGCCGTCCTGTTCTGCCTGCACAATTTTAAAGGCTCGAGGTCAGCTGCATCTTGGCAGATTGATTTGTGTTGAGGTTGGTGGATCCCTCCTGAGTGAAAAGACATGGTAGCAAACATCAGCTCGCGGTGGAAAGTCATATCCCTTGCAAGACTTGCATGGTGAGGTCCCCTGAGGACTCTCCTGTCGAGGAGTGCCTCCTTGGAAAAAAATCTGCTCATGTGTATCTCCAAATTGATCTTCTTGCTTGAGAGTTTAGTCGAGTGGGAAAGGTGCTGGAGCAAGCAGGAAACCCTGAAGAGTTCTGTGCAGCCCTGCTGGGAGGAAGACCTCCTGTGTATACATGCATATGTTGACAGCCAGAGATGTCCTTGCTTGCACATAGCTCTGACTGCATGCATGCTTACCTCTGCCTGCAGACTTGTCGGCTCGAGCTTGTGTATACAGCCTAGGATTTTTTTTGTGAGAGCATGGCTGGGAAGGAGCGAGCCAAAAACACAGCTTCGCCGAAAGAAGTTGCGAAGCTGATGCGAGGTGCGAACTTGACCAAACTGCCTCCGGAGTCGGAGTACATGATAGCAGACACGAGCAAGGTCATCGAGACGTTCGAAGACTTCCTGAAAGACCTTCTCCTGGCCACCCCTCGTCCGACAGAGAAGCTTCTACTTCAAGCTTGCAAGCTAGTTTTCGAGCACACATCCAAGTCCGACTGCAAAAGCTTCGCCCAGCAGTTGGTGCGATGTGTTCAGCATGTCCGAGAATGCAAAAGTGTGACTTCGGGGAAGAAGACACCGGAAGCAGTTTGGCGGGTCCTGCAAGTGATGAAGGCGAACAAGGACCAACCATGCAGACGGCTTTCTACAACCTCGGTGAGCTCAGCAGCCAGCCCTTCAGCTGTGGATTCGAAGCCGAGTCCCGAGCCCATGGTCGAGAAAGTGAGCCTTGCCAGTAAGGCCGAACTGAGCCCTGGCAGCAAGGTACGACATGCCTACGGTCTCGCAGCCAGTCGCACAATGCAGAAAGAGGAGGATGGAGAGGACTTGCTGGAGGTCGTGGCTGTGCAGTCCTCGCAGAGCTTGCACTCCATCGCGAGCTCGGGCGAGGAGGTGTCTCCTGAAAAGGAAGGCGAAATGGAGGACGTGCCTCCTGCAGCTGACTTCAAGGACTACTTTGATGCTGGTCGTGGCTGCCATGTGAGGGCCTTTGCCTCAGGCAAGCTCGAGGAGCTGACTGCTCCGGTACGTCGGGTGACCGGCAAGAAAGTCCTGAAGGCTGCCCTGAAGACCAAGCCTGCTGCCGGGCAGGTGAAGAAGAAGCCGGCAGGTGCAGAGACAGCAGAAGTGCCCAAGTCGTCAGAGGTGGATGTCCAAGCTGCACAGTTGGCGGAGGCGAAGCAGCAGGAGGAAACCATCTTGCATTTCGTCCGGAAGAGCACTGCCAAGAAGCCCCCGAGGACATATGTGACTGCTTGCTACTGTGACGGGTCCAAGCATAGGCAGAAACTCATCGTAGAATTTCAAGCAGCCAAGTATGCCGATCATGTCGAGAAAGCTGCGAAAGCAGTGAAGCGAATCCAAAAGGATAAGCTCACTTTCAATCGTGCCCGGCAGCTGAAATTCGCATTGGCAGAGGACTGATCGATTTTGACTCGATCTTGTCTCGCCTGGAATAGGGCAGTTTTGGCATCAGGTGCTCGCACAAATCGTCGGCCTTGCATGTTTGGTGTGCAGGAGGGGTTCTCCTAGCTCTTTAGGAGGACCTCTCCTACCTTGAGCTTGAATGGCAGGGCAGGTCAGCTGCATGCATGCTTCCTGTTGCAAATACCTATGCTCCATGCAGGAAGGTTTGGGCTCAAAAATTAGAAGGTCAGACTTGTCCCTGGAACCTATATAGCTTGGCTCCCCGGCATGGATCTGGGGGCGATGACGGATGCCCAAGTTCGCGAGTGGCTTCGAAGCTTGCCGAACTACCAGGTGCTTCGTTTGCACGAGCTGGTCATGGAACAGATGCCTCGTCCTGCTGCACCAGCTCCAAAAGGACCATGCTCGCACTGCCAATCGAGGCTGTGTACTCGGAGGACTGCATGCGAAGATCATGTCGGCAGATGCTCCTGCCACGTGTGCTACAAGGACTGGAAGCACAGCCGTCCCAAAGGTGGCAAGGGTGGGCATGGAGCCTCAGGCTCAAGTTTCCCCCTTCCTGCTGCAGGCCATTAAGAGCCTGCACGTTTCGCGAGTGGCTTCGAAGCTTAAAAGAAGAACACACACCCTCTGATTTGCCGATGAAATACTTTTAGGTAGATACGAAATTTCAGATTTGTTTTCCGTTTGCTTAACATGTTTTCATTTAAGAGGTTCTGTGGCAGATCTGCTTGCTGGAGTGACTCATGCATGAGAGTGTGCAGTGCATGCAGAGTAGGAGGAGATGCTGTGAGGTGCAGTGCAGGTGAGACTTGTTGTTTGAGCTTCGTTGCCTGCCAGCCAGCTTCTCGGCCCAAGCTAAAGCCTTCAGTGCAGCCCCAGACCTCTGTCTGCCACAAGCAGGGATGTCTTGGCATCATCAGTCAGGTTCTGGTTCTGGTGTCGCTTGGCTGCATTAGTTTTGGCTGCATTTTGTGTGCTCAGATTGTTGCCCAGGGTTCTCTGCAGTCCTGTCGCTGAGGGGTGGGGCTCCAGCTGGAAGGATCGTGGCCACGACAAGAAGGGTGAAGGCTCCCAGTGGTGGAAGAAGGACGACGACCCGTGGGACGAGGACCCCAATGACATGTCCGGCATCGATGTGAGAAAGTGCAAGAAATGCAAGCACAACTGGTCCTATGTGCGGGAGGGTGGCTGCCTAAACACAAAGTGCAACATGTCAGCATCCAGATTTCAGGAGGCTCTCCTTCACTCTAGGAGGGTCTCCTTCAAGTTGAGCCTTGCAGTTTTTAGGAGGTTCTCCTGTATAGGAGGGTCTCCTGTATAGGAGGGTCTCCTCGCTAAGGTGAGCTCTACATCTACTCGGCCTGGGATCCCTACAGCAAGGGCAGTGGAGGCCGGTGGGACCTGAAGGAGTTTGCCAACTACATTGAGCCCACCTTGGCGAAGAAGAAGAAGAAGAACAGGGGCAAGCAGCGAAAGGTGTGGTGGGCCAAGGTCAAGGGGTGGAAGGATGCCGGTGAGCCGGAGTTTCAGCCACCGAGTGATGAAGAGGAAGAAGATCCAGGCCAAGAGGGCCAAGAGCAAGCCGAAGCGGTGCCTTTCCGGCAGAAAGACTTTCAGAGTTTCCTGTGTTGCTTGTGTTTTCTTTGTTCCCGCGAAGCCAAGGCCCAGCAGCACCCGAAGCCCAAGGCCAGGCCCCTGGTTATCCCGAAGAACCCTCCACCGGCTACTGGGCTGCACTGTGTGGCTACACTGTTGTGTCTGCATAGAGACATGCATGTGCTTTGTGTGCTCTCTCACACGAGGCACCTCCAGAGAAGAGGGGCAGGAGCTGCGAAGCAGCAGAGAAGAGGAGGGACGGGTCGCCAGCCTCCATGCGGAGCTATCAGAGCTGGACCAAAGTGGATGGCGAGCCGGACGAGGATACATGCAGAATTGTTCGCACAGGAGGCTCTCCTGTCGAGGAGGGCCTCCTTCTTAGTTCGTTCGAAGCTTTTGCCCTTTGCCCTTGTCTGCTCATGAGGAGACCGGTCCCCCCAGTAAGATTGCCAAGACGAAGCCAGCCTCGGAATGCTCCTTGGCCAGCAATAGTTGAGGTCCTGTTGCTTGTGTGCTGCCAAACAAGCAAGCCACTCCCCGGCAGGGCTTGGGGACAGCCAGCCGGTTGCCGTGGATGATGAGGGTCCCGAGGCAATTTGTTTTTGTGAAGGGGATGATTTTGTTTCGGGTTTGTTATCCATGCAGCCTCTTGGTCAGGCCAGTGGTCCACCAGCTCCCGAGGAGGCAGCAGGCCCAGCTGCACTACTTATGCTTTTAAATTCAGTTGCAGGAGGGCTTCTCCTATTGAGGAGGAGCACTCCTTTTTTTTGGTTTTGGCAGGCCGTGGTGACCAAGCCGATGCCCATGATCCCAGGACTACAGTGGAAGCCATGCTCTGCAGTGCATTGCATAAACTTAGGGTTTAGGGTTTAGGGTTGAGGGTTTAGGGGTTAGGGTTTAGGGTTTAGGGTTTAGGGGTTAGGGGTTAGGGTTTCGGGTTTCGGGTTTAGGGTTTAGGGTTTAGGGTTTAGGGTTTAGGGTTTAGGGTTTAGGGTTTGTCCGTGTCTTGTTTTTGGAGGAAGCAGAAGACAGATTGAGCCTCGTCGGTGCACCAGCTGAGACCCTAAACCTTAAACCTTAAAGCTTAAACGCCAGACCCCTAAACCTTAAACCTTAAACCCTAAACCCTAAATCTTAAACCCCTAACCCTAAAAAACCCTAAACCTTAAACCTTAAACCCGACACCCTAAACTCCAAACCCTGAACCCTAAATCCTAAGCCCTAAACTCTGAACCCTAAACCCTGACCCTAAACCCGAATCTAGACCCTAAGCACTAACCCCTAAACCCGAAACCCTGAGCCCAAACCCTTCAACCCAAACCCTGGGCCCTAAAGCCTAAGCATAAAACCCCAAACCCTGAAGGCCTAAACCCTTAACCCCGAACCCTAAACCCTAGCCCCTAAGGCCTAAACCCGGCAACAGGAACCCGAGACTTAGTGCTTAGGGTCTAGGGTTTCGGGTTTAGGGTCAGGGTTTAGGGTTCAGAGTTTAGGGCTTAGGATTTAGGGTTCAGGGTTTGGAGTTTAGGGTGTCGGGTTTAAGGTTTAAGGTTTAGGGTTTAGGGTTAGGGGTTTCAGATTTAGGGTTTAGGGTTTAAGGTTTAAGGTTTAGGGGTCTGGTGTTTAAGCTCTAAGGTTTAAGCTTTAGGGTCTGGGGTTTAAGGTTCAGCACCCTAGGACCCTAAACCCGACACCCTACACAACCCCCCCCCCGGTGTGTTTATGTATACATATATATATATATCATATGTGTATACTTAAATACATATATATATATATATATATTGATGTATATATATATATACATATCTATATATTTGCAGATAGCATATATATATATAAATAAATACATAAATCGATAAATAACCCAAAACCGACATACACAGAAATATACATGTGTATGCATACATATCTCTATATCTGTATATATATATATATGTACATATATATGTATATATATATATATGTACGTGTACAACTGTATAGATATGTACGTGGAAACATGTATACAAACTTTCTCTCTCTGTGTCTGGTGCTCTTTCTCTATCTTTCTTTTTTTTTCTTTAGAAGAACTCGCTTGCTTGCAATGGTTAAGACGGCTAAGCCTGCGACCTCCTCGGGCAAGTTTGCTGCAAAAGCAGTGAAGAGGGAGCCCAAGGCCGCTGCCAAGAGGACGGCCAAGGCGCCCACACCCAAGTCGCAAGCAGTGAAGACCGAGCCAACAGAAGCAGTGGGCAAGATCGGCATGGAGAGAGGCCAGCTGTCGGGACTGCTGACCTCGCTGTCCTACCAGTGCAAGGCCAAGAAAGCCACCCCCGAGCACAGAGCAGCAGCAGCGAAGATCCTCAGCGACTACAAGGCAGCAGACGTGAGTGGCAAGAGCAAGATCTTGGAGAAGCTTGTGCAGAGTGGCATGCACTGCTTGGACTGGGCCAACGAGCTGACGAAGAACACGGAGGTTCAACACGAGGAAGCGAATGAGTTTCTGAAAGGCTTCATGACCCGGTGGCTTGGCTGCAGTAATATTTCTTTTTGTTGGGTGTGGGTTGGTGCCTTCACAGATTTGGTCGCAGAGGTCCAAAATCCTGGAGCTCAATGGCCTGAACGAAAGCAACCTTTCAGAGCAGGTGGCAGCCGACACCTTGCAGGACCTCCTGAGAGAGTCCGAGGAAAGGTTCAAGCACACCAGGCAAGAGCAGCCGCACAAGAACAAACTCCTGCATCGCTACTTCTACAAGATGCAGAAGGAGAGCACAGAGAGAGACTCTGCCACCGACACGACTCGGCACAGTCAGACGGGAACCATGGATGGTGAATTGGGCTCGTTGATGGATGCCTTCGGCAGTGGTGCCACTTCCAGCATTGAGGTGGACATGAAGGGTGCCTTCAACAAGAACGTCCTGCTGCTTAAGCAGTACAAGCCGAAGCTCAACAAGCTGCACCAGGAAGGCCTCGATATCTCCAGTATTCTGCTCAGTCTGTCCCCGGAGATGTACTCCCAGATCTGCCAGGACATCGACAAGAAGATGCAGACCCTGGAGGAATTCAGCACAAAGCTGAGACAAAGCACGGCTACCATGAACCGTGTGGATCCGGCGGACAGCAGTGTGGACCTCGAGAAGCTGGTGAAGACCACAGGTGACTTGATCACCGAGTGCGAACAGCACCAGAACGTGGTCGCAGGCTTTCTGAAGCAGTGGAAAGGGGTCGCCGGCATCTAGTTTTTCTAGCATCGGCCAGAGGCGACATTTTGCAACGTTCCCCTGCAGGGAATGGTCGTCCAACAACCAGCAAGATGCAATCGCATGCTTGCTACATCGTACAGAGCTTTGGAGCTGCAACCTTCCGTGCAGTGGAGTTAAAAAATCGGAGCCTGCATGCATGTTTTGCAGATAGCA